GCTAATTGAGGATATGAACCTTTGCACGTATTAGATTTTTCGTGTCGTATGATGTGATAATTTTTTAATTACAAACTAGAGATTGAGCTCATAAATCCTCTTATTTTTGTCATTTTTTGTGTCTCTCAATAAGATCGTGTCATATTAATAAACTATCATGATCTCTCAATTGATGTGATATGAAATTTCAATTGACTAATATTATATTATTAGAAGAGCATAAAAAGGGGCATGAGAGTTAATTCCACAAACTAATATCCAGTGTAATTGTTTAGAGATTAAATGTCATATCAATTGGTGTGAGGATGTTTGGTAGAGGGATTCGTTCCCTGATTCGAATCATAATTCGTGATTCACTATAGTATTTTCTCTCATAAAAAATTTACGTAAATCAAAAATAATTCGAATCACATGATTTGAATCCTCCAACCTAACGTTCGGCTCAATATTACTCATTTTGTGTAAAGCTTTTTTTTTAGAAAATATTTTTCTTTAGAGTAATGTATTAAATGAGCATTAGTAAATGCCGTGAGGAGATAATGATTGGATATCAATGACATTCATCGATTTCGATTAGACTACGGCCAATCAGTTATAATAATTTTTTGAAATAGAAAATTAATTTAAAACATTTTCACTCATTTTTTTAAATATCTTTCAAAACACGTATTAAAAACACGCGTCAAAGTGTATAATTGATGAGAAAGAAAACGAAAATAAAATAATAAAATGGAAATAAATTTCATCAAAATCTTGAGAGTTTTATGACTTCTATACTAGTTGTAAAAGAGATAGAATCAATTTTGTAAGATTCTGGAGAAATCACCAAGAAATTGCAGAATCAACCAAACCTGGTATGTAGAGAAATTCATTTTTTTCTCTTATGAATCATTCTCATTTAATTTCAACGTGTTCATAGTATTCTCCAAATCATACGGTTTTTTCAATTAAGCCTTTTTCTAATGTCATGATTTCTCGCTTTCAATAGAATTCCAGTCATTCGTTTTCAATGGGATTTTTGCACATCTTAGTCAACACACGAACCAATCGAATTAAGGCAAGAGTATTTCTTTCCTCATGAGATGTGAAAAATAAAAATAAAAGTAAAAAATAAATTTTTTTCTGTTCGCTAATTATGAGTTTTCCAAGTAGGGAACACTGATTTTACCATGTATATGAGTACTAATGTTCTTTTTTTCCCCGACTGTTATTTGCTAATTGATAATCAATTGATAGGTCCATATATAGTTTTTCTACCCAAATCTGATTACTTCTCAATGATGTTTGTTCTTGTTAGCCCAATAATTGTTATGCTTGTAAGACAACTAACCAAACTAACATATTAATTACACATGGGAATTCTTTTACTTATAACTTTTAGCCAATCCATGAACATTTTCCGCCTAAAAAGTAGGGCAATCAAACCATTCTGTTTAAAATAACCATTTTGGAGCACAATGTCAGTACTTTTTCTAGAATCTAAAATAAAATAATGGAGTTTTTTTTTTTTTTTTTTTTTTTAGATTCTGAAAAAATAATCTATTAAAAAAATTTTTTTTTCAAAATTAAAAAAAAAAAAAGGGGTTTTTTTTTTTTTTTTTAATTTTGAAAAAAAAATTTTTTAAAAAAATTTTTTTTTCAAAATTAAAAAAAAAAAAAGGGGTTTTTTTTTTTTTTTTTAATTTTGAAAAAAAAATTTTTTAAAAAAATTTTTTTTTCAAAATTAAAAAAAAAAAAAGGGGTTTTTTTTTTTTTTTTTTTTTTTAGATTCTGAAAAAATAATCTATTAAAAAAATTTTATTTTCAACCGTGAGATTTATGTTAAAAATTATTTATTCTGTATATTTTTTTAATCTGATGTAATTTTAATTATATTTTTCATAAAACAAAATAAAACAATAACTATAAAAGAATCTTTATCCCTTTTAATTAACACAAGATGACCTTTTGAGATTTGTTTTTTTCTCTTTTGTTTTGTTTTTGTTTTTGCTAAAGATGTTGTTTGAGGTTGGTTTAGAGATATATTAGTCATCATTCCTCATAATGTAATTTGCCTTCAATAAAAGATTAGATAATCTACCAACTTGCATAATTGCATTAATAATCTAATGCTTTGGATATTATTGTTGGATTACCCGCACTTATGAATGCCCATTATTTATAGATTGTCCAAATAACAACTAACACTAATAACTTATAATTTTCCTCGTCCGGAAGAGATAGTTTATGACAAAGCTTTTATCTATTAATTAGTTGGAATAAAATATATTTGACCAACTCTTACATCTAAGAATAAAAAAAACATTTTTCTTTAGCAAAAAAAGAATAAAAAACATTTGACCTTAGAAACCACGAGCCGCGCAAGTCTCCTAGCGTGAGCCACAATATGAACATATAAAAAAAGGATATGTGTTATATTAAGAGGGAAAAGAAAAAAAAAAAGATATTTATCCGATAAAAATAAAATAAAATATAAAAATAAAAAGACAAAAGAGGATCTTGTGTTTGTCTCGTGAGAAAGGCGACTGAAGCGGAGCCGGTCAACTCTCTCTCTCTCTGAAAAGCTTCCTCCCTAGCATGGAGCCGACAACTGTCATCAACCCACTTGATTGTCCCAAAATACAACACACTTCTCTCCTATTTTCTCTTAATTGAAAATTTTTATGGTAGAATGTTTTATCGATTTAAATTTTAAATTTATTATAATTAAAAATTTTTATATAAATTCACATATTAATTTAAGTTAAAGAATTAAATAATGTTTAAAAATTTTTTAAAATAAAATTTTAATTTTTACATTGCAATCATATTAGATTAAAAAAAAATGTTAAATAAATTGTGTTTTTCTTTTACTAGTGCCACTTGACTCACAATCTTAAGTGCGGCCGACCAAACATAGCTCGAGTTTGGACTCATGCTTATATCATGTGTCATAACAAGTTCATCGAGCCCATTAACATTAAGTTGAAATTTAATTATTTTATGATAGAGTGCATATTAAGTAGAAAATTCATTTACATTGAAATGAAATAAAAGGATGTGTATGGCATCTACAAATACTATTTTTAAAGAAAAAAAAATACAAAATGTATACTATCATCGTGAGTTAGGTAAGTTGATCGGGTTGAACATAATAAAAAATAAAAAATGACAATAAAATAATGCTAATCATTTAACTCAAAATAAGAAATATATAAAAATAAAGTTAACTTTCATCATAATATTAGTGTTATAACACTCCAAAATAATTGATAAGTTATAAATCAATATGAAAATAAAATATATATATAACAAATTTAAATATATAAGTTATAAACCAATAAAAAAACAAATATAAAAATTGATATAACATAAAACATAATAGGGTGTTAAGTAAATCATGTAAAATATAAAATAAATATAATATATTATGAGGTAGGAAAATATTTAATTATATATATAAATAATTTGGATGGGTTCGGGTTAAGTTGGGTTAAGAAAAACTCAACCCAAACCCACTTAATTAATGATCGAATTGGGTTGATCTCTTAATCAGATTGGTCAGGTTTGAGTTATAATGGGTTGAATTATATGGGTTAATCGGGTTCGTCGGGTTGTCGCGCTTTTTTGTTCACCCCAAGTACCAATTTTAAAAACTAGTTGTTCACTAGAACGACTTTAATGTAAATATTAGGCTTAAAACGCACCACATTAGTGTTCTATTCGAATATCAATGCTCTAAAATTAGTAATCATCTAATTCACTCCTCGTGCCTAATCCCGACCTGCCATTTAGGCTTCTTTATTTTACCGATTCGAGTTTTCAATTTTAGGTTTCATAGTTAAAAGTTCTTAAAAAATGTCACATCTAACTTTTTCTGCTACAGTTAAAAACTTTTAAAAAATGTCACATTTTAATTCGAATTGAAAACTCAAATCTGTAAAGCGAACTAGGCCTTAGTATCACGCTCAGCATGGTCCAAAACAATCTCATGTTGAATCATACTCTAACCGCAAATTCTTGTGGCAAGTTGTCGTACTTCATAGACGGTTCGACTCAATTACTATCTTTAATTACATACGACAATTAAAAAAACTGATGAATATCAAACGATCCATAACTATAGCATCTTAACAGGACTGTATTTTTTATATCAAATAATAACATAAAATTATCTTTTTTTTAAAAATGAAAACAAATATTTTTTGGGCCAGCATAAAAAAGTCAAACCTTTGAACATAAGAGCCGTCACACATCATCCACGTAGGATTCTCTCCATTATATATGATCAAGCAGGCCACTCTCTTGCGTTGAGCGCGAACTAATTATCCAATTATAGTTAAAGAAAACCATAGAATTCTTTAAAAAAAAATTAAAAAAAAAACCAGAGAATTCCATCGCTTATGTGAAGCATATTTTGTCTTTTTTGCTGAATTTGTCCTTTTATGATTGTATTATTATTATTATTATGTTTGATTAAGCTATAAAACAGTCACCCCCACAAAAAAAAAAAAAAAACACAATAATATTAGTCATTTGGCATCATGGGTGATGACGCAAAAAACTGTTCCATGTGGGGGAAACAAACAAAAATACGGTTTTGTTAATGCTAAATACGTGGCATCTTATAACATATTATAAAATTATAACCAAAGTTCTAAAAAAAAAAATATTATGCAAATACCATATTACATTTTACCCCGTCACGTCATGTATGGTAAGTTTTTCCTAAATTCCGCAGGAAAAAAAAGGACTTAGTTTTAGAATTACTCTATTTGGTGATAAGTAAAAAGGGACGGTCAAACATTGACTGTTCCATTCCATGATGGAGTCACCATGAGAGCAACATTTCATCATCCCCATGAAAATGGAAAAGAGATATAAACACCAATTATCCTTTCACTCAAAATTAAACATAAAAATAAAGAAATAAATTCTTAAAATTAAAAAAAAAAAAGAATTGAAAAAACATATTGTATTGCATTTCCTAGAATTTAAAACGAACCTATATGGATTGTGGGTGGAGAGTAAAAAGGTTCCTTCTATATCTTTCTATACAATCTTAGAATCTCTCAGCTCTCTTTCTTCAATTCTTTTTTTTTTTCCCCTTTTCTTTTAATAAACAAAATGAAAAACCCTATGCCGGCTCACCAACTAGCTAACAGCCACCGCTACGGCGGCTCCGGCGACGGCACACCTACTTCTCGACGATCAGCATGCAGCACCGGGAGGGCTATAACCGAGCTGCTGAAAACCATAGAAAAAATCATCCGTCAATCCCATAATATTGTTGTTAGGAATCAGAATATTCTCATCGTCAATATCTTCCTCCTCGCCCTCCACCAAGCACTCTTCTCCGCCGTCGCCGATCTTCTCATTATCCTCCTCCTCCTCCTCCGCATCCCGCTTTACCGCCACCGACACCGCCTCCTCGTCCGCAATCTGCGCCGTCGAAAGCGGCGTCGTTGGGGATTGGCTCGCACCGGACTGCGGAGACGAGCACGAACTAACCGCCGCCGTAGTTGTGGCGGTGGCGGTGGTGGTCTTGGCTCTGGTGCTTCCGGCGAGGGAGTTCCGGTGAGCCGGACGGGGGTGAGTATGTTCGCCTGTGTAGGTGACGATGAAGAGGTCAGGATCCACGTTGCTACGCTCCACTTGCTTCCTCGCCGCACACCCCTTTGAGCTGCTGCATCGGTAATAGTTCCTTCGTACGGAAAAAACGACAACAACCAAAAAACAAAAAAGGAAAGAAAATATAATCAACCAGAAGAAAGAGAAGGTTATATAATATTGTGCAGTTTTAGGTGAGTTAATATATATGATACCTTGGGTATGGAGAGCCTTTAATTGGTTTTTGGCCGTATTTGCGCCAAGCCCATAAGTCAGAGTTAAGATTCTCGGCAGTTACTTGACACACTTGTTTCTTCAGCTGATTCTTCCTGTAAAAAGATCAAGCAAAAGGGAAACATGGTCAATTTAATTTCCTTTCTTTTACCATGCAAACGAAATAATGGTCAGATTTAATTAAAAAATATATACATAAAAATAAAACCTTTTTCTTGATCTGGGGTTTGTTGGAAGGTTGGGCGGTAATGGCATTTGTAAAGGTAGAGTGGTGGGAGCGAAAGTGCCATTAGAAGCATGAAATCCGGCCTGATGAACCTGTTGCGGTAGTAGTAGCTGATTATTCTGCTCTTTCTGTTGTTGTTGTTGTTGTTGTTGCTGCTGCTGCACTTGTGGTTGGCGTTGTTGGTCAACATGGAAATTACCCCCAAAGCCAGATTGGGGTGAGACCAATTGAGCAGTCCCAACGACGCCGTTCTGAGGCATTAGATGCTTGTATTGCTGCTCACGATGATGATGATGATGATGATGATGTTGTTGTTGGCCACTAGATCCTCCAAGATTGGGATTAATGGAGGAATTTGGAATAATATCACGGCTAGTAGTGGTGGTGGTGGGGTTGGGGAAAAAGCAGGCCGGTTTGAAGAAGAATTGCTGCAATTCTTGGAAAGCATTGTTTCTGGGCTCACCCAGCTTGGGAAAGGAAAACGGGTCGTTTTCCTCCTCGAATGTCAAAGAGGCCAACCAAGAGAGGGTAGTATTAGTACTATTACTACTACTTTCTTCCTCCTCCGACGACGTCGTTTTAGCAGTACTCACCATGGAAGATGCCGTGGTGGCTGATGATTTGCAGCTCCGAACCACGGCATAGAGATCCCAGTCGTCTGCCATTTTCAGCCGTTTTTCTGGGGGAGGGGGTTTCAGTTTTCGGTTTTTTAATTTTTGCCTTGAAAGTCTCGCCAGCACCACAATTCCTATGATCTTTTTTTATTTTAAAGGTACTGCTTTTTGGCGATTGAATAAGGCAGCTGGGTTAAGCAACGATAAGGGGAAGAGAAGAGAGAAAGGATGAAACAAAGGACGGCGCTGACTTTTGGGTGTGAGTTAAATCACAGAGACGAGAAAGAAATAGAGAGAGAGAGAGAGAGAGATTGTGGTGAGAGGAAATGGTGGAGCACTGACTTGGTAAATTATTAATTATTTATAGTGAAACAAGACCATGTTTCTTTTTATTTTAAGAAAAGGGGAAGAGAAAAAAAAATTTTAAAAAAAAGTAATGGGTATTTGTACTTTTAAAGAGAAAGGGTGTTATTGCAAAATAGAAAAAGAAAAGAAATTAAGAAAAAAGGAGAAAGGGTGGTTTTATCATTTATGGTTTTCTTTGGGTATTCATGGATTTGGAGGGTGATGAGCCTCTGAAGGGAAGAACCTTTACCCACCTTTCAGCCTTTTGCCTTTTGGGTTGACTTTTTGAAATTGTCAAACTCTTGTAAAGATGGCGTACATGCATGAGTGTACCCGACCAGTACTCGCAATCTGATTGGTCACTGGGCGCCTACGTGGAATCTTCACTAAAGTGGAGAGTTGGGCCACGCTATTTGTGTAATCGTGAAAAGCACCACCCGCGGCCATCGGGTTGCATTTGCACAACATGTCTGACTAGTGGCCTACATTCCCTTCCAAAGTGTTTCCAACAACCATCTCCGCCGGTGGGGCCTAATCTTAGAATTAGTCGCTTAAAGACAAATTATCTCTTGCCAATGTATAAATCCAATTGTACTCTACCATTAGCATATAATGAAGTGTCTTATCACTTCTCTAAAAGAAGTGTTTTTATACTTTTTTTTTTTGAGAAATTATACTAAATAATAGATTTTTAAAACTAAATTAAATGAATAATAAAATTTAAAACTATTTAAAATAAATCATGTGTCATTTATAACGGATAAAAAATCTTTATTTAATTTTCGTGAAAAAAAATCTTTTTACTCATCTACGATGAAACAATTACGCAGTAAACTCTTATTTACTTCAAATAATTATAAAATTTATTTTTTACTTAATTTAATTTTATAAATATATTGTTTACTACATTTTCTTTTTTTTAGCTAAATAAAGCGACATATTGCTTATTAAATAGAGTTTATCTTGTAGCATACATGTAAGTTTGTTACATGAATAGTATGAAAATGTTTAAAACGACAATATAAAAACAATACTAGATTATTTTGAACTTTTTTTTTTATTTTTTATTTTTGATAAGAATGAACTGTGTTTTCCTATATATTGACATTATTTGCTTGAAAAAGAAGTAGCCTAAGTTTTTTTTTTTTTTTTTTTGATGGTATAAGTAGCTTAAGTTTATTTAATACTGTAATACTAATTTAAGGGGCATAAATTAAGTCGTGTGTGAAGGACGCGCCTCTCTGCGGCTGAACATGGGAGTACGCGGAAGTCACCGTCTAAACCGTACGCGCTTTGAGCGTAGAGTACAACTTAAGATGGGCCCCACAAAAGATCCATACGAAGACCCCAAACTGGCAATCTCTCCCTCCCAAAAAACGCATTATTTTCTCTTTTCTCTGGAATTCAATGCCAATTCGCCATACATAACCAACCAAACAAACAAAGGAAAACGAAAAGTAAAAGAGAGAAAAAAAAAAAGAAAAAAAGAAAAAAAGAAAAGAGAAATAGAAATGGAAATTAAATGCAAAAGCACTTCTGTGGCACTCTGCAGTGGGAAGGCTCGGGGCTTCCAGAAGTTGTACCACGTGGAGATGGGCTCGAACCAATCGTAACCGTTGAGAAAAGTGGGCCCCACAATTAGGATTTAAGATCCGTTTAATTCACTGATTTGAGTTTTTAATTTGAATTGATATGTGATTTTATGTGAAAATTTTTTACTGTAATAAAAAAAATTAAATATAATTATTTTAAAAAAATTTTTATTATAACAAAACTCGAATCGATAAAATAAACGAGACGTAACTGATTTGGCGGGTTCCATGTCACTCCGAGAGAGGGACAGAAAGGGAAAAAGGAAAAACGTCCTTCCGTTTGATTTGTTCTGTACATTTACCTATGGTGATTTCAAGTACTTGTCGGTTTCAATTTTGCTGATGCGGTGATGGAAGGAAGGTGATGAATCTGGAGCCGTTGTTTGCTCTTCAAAAGTTGCTTTCTTTTCATTGATGTCCGAATCTTTTTGCATTTTTAACGGTGACTGATTTGGTTGTTGGTGCTACTGCATTTTTTGAGTGAAAAGTATGTTAAGTCGGTAGCCCAGGAAAGATCCAGTGCCTGCGGGATCAGCAATGGTAAAAAGCGCAAAAAAAAAAAAAAAAAAAAAAATCGGCTTCTCATACAGACCATGCACGTTTCTATATTTTAAAATTTCTCAGAATCTCATTAAAATACATAAAATTAAGAGAGTTTGTGCGGGATTATTTGATACATATACTCAAAACTCAATTCATGATTCTATTAGAATATTTTATCTCATAAAGAATTTAAATAAAAAAAATTCTTGTTAATAACTCTCACAAAAAATTTAAATCAAAACTTAAATTATAATTCAAATACACTTTTTAGAATTTTTCATAATAAATTCTAAATTAAATAACAACTGCATGCCATGACAATCCAGGTGGTTGCATGACATTTTTTTTTTTTCATATAATCATTGGCTAGAACATAACAAACAGAGTTTGATAATGTTAAAAGTAACACATAGTTTAATCTGAATAATAAATTAACATACCATATTTGCAAGTGGAAGCACATATTTTCATGGATTTTGTAGACTTAAATGAGTTTGTTTTGCTGATTAAGGGGATGTTTGGTTGGAGATTTGAATCATGGTTCATGATTCGTTACAGTATTTTATCTCACAAAAAATACACGTAAATCAAAAATTATTCTAATCATATGATTCTAATTCATGAACCAAACGTCTCATAAGTTTCTTTTGCTAATACCTGTTTGATTGACAAAGACTGATCAATTATAAAACATTCAACTTAAATTCGTTAACACACTCGTTCCTAATGAGCACTTAATACGCATAATCTAGTAAAGTTTATTCTCCCATTTTGAGTTTTGGTGTTCATAAACACATATATATAGTTTATTTTCTGATTCTTTAGTTGCACTTAGGGATTTAAAATTACTTTGTCTAAAGGATTTTACTGTGAGCAAAAGTAACACAATAATATTCGTAGTGCAATTTAAAAAAAAAAGTAGAAAAGGGTAGATGCAATAATGGGGGTCACCAAAGATGCACCAATTGACATTTCTTACTAATTAACTTGACTTTATAATTAGTAGTATAAGCAAATAATTGACTTATGTTACCCAGGAGATAATAGTAAGATTGAAGAAGGAAAAAAGTGCTCTAAAAGTGTTTTTGTTTGGTAACAAAAGCAGACTAAAAAGAGTAAGCAATAAGAGAATAATATTATCATAATAACAATATTATGATTACAAAAAAAAAAAAAAAGGAACAAGAGAAACAATAATAGAATAATTATGCTTCTAGAAACGAAGGAGATCTTCGTACATGATGTTCTATTCTTTAGCCTGCCTTTTGTTTTGGGGTTTAAAAAACATAATTATATATCGGCAAATATTTCTTAAGGTACTTTATTTAAATTATTGCTTTAAATAATTAGCGTACTTACATTTAGTTGCCTCACTCATATTGTAGTTGGCAACTGGGTGATTGATTGTAAAAGCCTAAGGAACAATTAGGCTTTAATTAAAATAAATAAATATAACATGAACAAAGATGTACAAAATTTTCGATTTCAAAAAAGAAAAAAAAAATGTACAAATTTTTATATCATTTTATATGTCAAGCATAAAGTGTGAACCTCTCTCTCTATGCTTGCAAAAAATTTCCAACCGAAACCACGAGAGAAAAACGGCTTTGATGTCATATAATTAATCTTAAACTACATACTAAATTAATAAAATATTTCCATATATACATATGCATTTTAATAAATGTAGAATGTATTCATGTGTTTCATTTTGTTACAACTCAGAGAAAAAAAGAGGAAAAAAAAAGGAAAAAAAAATTAATAGACTCTGATAATGTCCATTTTTCTCATTTATAAAGAAAAAAAAGGTTTTATTTAAATTTTTTCAATGTACCGTATGTGGGATTTTCAAAGTAGGATGAGCAGGACTATATTTTGAACTAACAAATTTGTATAATAAATACCGTTCTAAGAAAATCCAATTATGAATTATGTAGGCATCGTTCATTTCACCGATTCGAGTTTTCAGTTTTAGGTTTCTACAGTAAAAAGCTCTCAGAAAATGTCACATCTAACTTTTTTTGCTACAGTGAAAAGCTCTTAGAAAATGTCATATCTCAACTCGAATTGAAAACTCGAATCCGCGAAATGAACGAAGCCGTATAGTAGTAGGTTACTGTTTGGACTAGGTTGTGTTCTCTTGGTGTACGCTTAAAGTTAGATAAGATTAGATTGACAGGGAAATGAAGATTCAATCAAGCAAGACAAAGAAAAAGGTGTGGATCAACTTTAGCTTCACATCCGGTGTGGATCAGAGGCTTAAAAAAGTTGGATAAGATGAATGATGTATATGATTGTCATTATCATGGGATCTTCTGAAGAATACGGTTTCTTCATGGAATTGGCAACTTCTAAGATGAATGAGAGGGACAAAGGAGACCCTAAAGAAGATGAGGACCGGAGGGGTTAAGTCATTAAGTTTGGCAGGAGAACATGTTTAGTGATTGTCGTGAAGATACCTTTGCTATCAAGCAAAAGCAAAAGATTGTGATCTAGAGGCAATTCAGATCCCACTACCACTTCTTTTTTTTTTTTTTTTTTTTTTTTTTTTTTTTTTTTTTTTTTT